GTTCTCAAAGTGTGGTCTGTGGAGCAGCATCATCAATGTCACCAAGAGAATTAGAAGACATGAAAATTCTCAGGGTTGTCTCCAGATGTACTAAACTAGAAACTCTGAAGTGGGTCCAGCATTCTTCAGGTGAACACATCCTCCTGGTGATGGTGATGTATGCTTCATTTTGAGAGCCCCTGTGTTGGGCTAGGCACCCCACTCTGTATTGGCAGCACTGCAGTGTGACGGCAGGGAGCAGGAAAGTCTTCCAGAGTAACATGGCTCTGGTAGCACACTGCCCACAGCTACCAAATGACAGTGGGAATGAAGATGGCAGGAGAAACTGTACAATGTTCCAGGTGGCATCACTTCCTCCATCGGTCTGTAGGTTCATCCACGGGAAGAAGTAGGAAGAGAATTTGTCATCTGGGCTTTTCACAGTGGTTGATGAAGGACAGGACAAGAAACTGGGAGTGGGAGAGGTTAACAAAGAAGCGCAGGAACCACTGGGGCAGAAGGACTGAGGGAAGGGAGCTTTCAGAAGCAGGTAGTCTGAAATGGCCCCAGAGCCCAAAGATGAGCAAACAGGTAGAACAGGATGACATGGTTCTCTTTTGGGAGAAATCAGTGGCCAAATAGCTGGAGCTTGCATTTGTTAGCCTGTGTAGTGAAAATTCAACAGCCGAGTGATGAGGCCTATGGTCGTGCGCCCTATCTCTGGTCGTGTGTTATAGATGAAGTTGTGGTTGTGGTCCCATGTCTCTGGACATGCTTTAATCTCAGCCGAGATTAATGCCCTCATGGCAGCACCTGCCTGGAAGGTGATTTGTGCCCTGTATTCCACTGTCATAGTGCATGGCATAAGGTATTTTGTAGAAAGCATTTATGAGCCACCCCCTGCCAAATCTAGGTGACAAACAGATTGCATTCTCATTGCTCATCTCAAGTTCCCTCCGTTTCTTAAACCTGGGGAAAGGGGCACAGGGAAACAGAAATAGGAAGGGTGCCAGAAATCAGCTAACCATCAGAATTGCTAATCGAGATAAAACAGTTAAGATTGGAATTTGAATAGATGTAGACAGTGCTCTGCACTTCTTCAGATCTTCAGAGTTTCCTTAGGTGCCTGTGTTCAGTAAGCACCAAGTCCAGAAGGAACAAAACTGTCACTAACAGAAGGGAAAGGAGGACAGGTAACCCACATTGAGTGCTCACTGTGGTTAAACCTCTGACTTGTGTTTGTAAGATCACTGTTATAGTCAAATCCCTTAGCTGCTGTTAGGGATAGTATCTGCTTTTTGGAAAATATCATGTCAGAATTTAAATATAACTCTCAGGGGTTCCACTCTGCTGTTCCATCTAGTTATAATGTATCCCTTATGTTGCACAAACATTTAAAGTGAGAGAGTTCAGATTTACACAAAAGATAAACCAGGGAACAATTATTTTCTAGATGAAAGAATTCTTCAGCTTGCAAGAGGTGTCACTACATTTTTAAATTATAGGCTTTTAAAATTAATGCATTTAAAATCAAGCCTAAATCTAATCTTCTTCCTGTGCCTCACACAGCATATGAAGTGAGGTACGTCTGTATCTTCTGTGTTTCATAATAGATTATGCTCCCACGCGTTTGTCTTAAAAGTGGCTTTACAGGGACGGATGCACCATGAATCAGCAGTTCTTGTGGGCATTGCTGTCTTCTGGCCTCCCTGGCATCTTTAATTCCTTGTTTCGTTGAGTGTCACCAAGTCAATTACAGATGTGGAGGTCTCAAAGAAATCATTGGCCCACAGATCCCTTAGATCCCTTAGATATACACATAGTTTATTTTATGTACTCCTTCAAGGCTTTGAGATAATTGATTTAGGAAGAGAAACATGTTTATTTTGATTGATGGTTTTGGAGGGTCCAGTCCATGGTCCACTGGCCCTACTGTTTTGGGCCTGTGGTGGAGCAGTGCATCATGGCAAGGGTGTAGAAGCACAACTTCTCAGCTTATGGCCAGGAGAGACAGAGAGATAGAGATAGAGAGAGAGAGAGAGAGAGAGAGAGAGAGAGAGAGAGAGAGAGAGAGAGAGGGAGGGAGAGAGAGAGAGAGGGAGAGGGATTGAGAAATATCCTGTGATCCCCTTCAGGTCCCACTCTTAATGACCTAAGGTCTCCCCACTAAGCCCCACCTCTAAAGCTTCTGCTCCTCCAAATGATGCAGCCCTGAGAATTAAACTTTTAAATATCTGGGTCTTTGGGGGATGTTATAGATCCAAACTATGGCAGTCGGGTACAACTGATATCCACAAGTCAATCCATGAAATAATAAATTATTTTTGGAAGCCAATAACTCATATGGTGTTGGTCTGCATTGGTCTCTCCTGCCAAAAGTTGTAGAGATTTGGCCAGAACTAAGTTTGCTAGTTGATGTGTCTCTTTATCAAGAGTGAAAATCATATGTCCATTCTGTTTACTTTAGGGTCTTAATCTGGATTTTTTTCAAATCTCTACATTTATTTCCAGTTGAAAATCTCATTTCTATGTGGACCTGGATGATATATTAACTACAATTCTTCCTTTGAGCAATTTCTCCCCATTTTTTATTTGCGTGTCAGAGGGGCTTGTTATTACTTTCCAGTGGACAATTTAATTGCATGGTCAACAGTAAGTCCTGCAATTAATTTTTGACAATTAATTAATTTATTATTTCAGTCTCATTTTTTTTTTTTTTTGAAGTGAATGAGATGTTCTGGGAAGCTTCTTGAACAAAATGAACTTTCTGAGAACAGGCTTCAAAATATGCTGAACTCTTGATAAATCAGAATTTATCAAAGGACTGGGATACACATGACTCAGTTCCAAGCTAGATAAAATGAGGGCAAATCCAGACTATGGGGAAGGTCCCTATGCCAGGCAATAGTGAGAAGTCTTGGGGCCACAGGGATGGAGTAGATGGATCGGGTGAATTGGGTGTCAGGTTGCTTGGAAAGGAGTGAACATTCCCACAGTCATGCATTCTGGGAGGAGGTGAAGTCACCAGTAGAAAATGAGAACGTTAGAGGTTGATCTTAGATGAAATGATGCAATCAGGAAAGACTCCTCAGTCAGCGGCCAGAAAACACTGAAGTGCTGAGCAAAGAATGTGATGCGAGATAGCATGGCTGCCTCCCTGACTTCCCCATGAGCCAGAATTCTTACTTCCTGCTGGTTTTTATGGGCAAACCATTCTGAGTTTATAAAGCAGCCCTGCAGCTTATGCAAACTATTCTATCCCCGAGCTCAGGGTCCCTCAGATAGAGGAGGAAGCCTAGGATTTCTAAAGCACCCAGCACTTCATATCTTTTCTTAGTCTTCATTTACCCAACAATGAATCAAGGCTGCTCCTATTTAATAGAAGTCAGCAAGAAGCAGACAGAAGGCTTCTGTCCCCAGTTTGTCAAAGGCAGCTGTGGACAAAAAGGCAACAACCATTCCTGCTCCCAGGCCTTTTTAGAAAGTGCTTCTTTTCCCTGCTGGTGGCCGCACTCACCATTCTTCTTGTGAAGTCCCCAAGTCTAATTTGTTAGCACTAAGAAAGCATAGTTAAAGCAAAGCTGTCGCCTTTTCTTTATAGTCTTGGTCACTTCCCTCTTTGCTAGAACATGATATCCTGACACCCACAATTTAGAGGAGGAGAGGTTTATTTTGGCTCATGTTTCAGTTCGTAGTCACCTGGCCAAGGCAGGAAGGCAGAGTAGAAGGGACCGGTGCAGGAGAGCTGCTCACAGCTTGGAGTCCTGGAAGCCTAGAGACCAAGGGAGAAGCCAGGGAGGGAACAAACTCTTCCAGGTCAGGCCCCAGTGACCTGACTCTTCCAGCCAGACCCCACTTCCTAATAGTAACTGAGCTGTCAGCCCCCATAATCTGCTCACCTTCCCCAAAAGCCCGCCTATGAGCACATGAGCCTCTCAGGGGACATCTAGATAAAAACCTTAGCACTTAGCAACCTTGATGTGACCTTTGGTGACCTTTAGTCACCCTGGTGAGCTCCAGGGGGTACCTTTGCTCGGAAATTCTGACCACGAGCTCTGAGTCATGACTTCTCTTACAGCAGTGGGTCTCAAACTTTATCCTGCAACAGAGTCACCTAGAGGGGGTTGGCAAGCTACAGCTGTGGTCCAAATCCTGTTCCATGCCAGTTTTTGAGTAGTGGCAAGTGAAGAATGATTTTTATCTTTGTGCTTTTAAAGGGTAGAAAAAAAATCAAAAGAAAAATAACATTTCACTGCATGTAAAAATGATATGAAATTTAAACTTCAGTGCCTATAGTTAAAGTCATATTAAAGGACAGTTGTGCCCATCTATCTTCCTCTTGCCTATAACAACTTTCACCTGCAAGGCCACAGCGTGGAACATATGGAATGCAGTGGCTAAGATAATTGCTCTTTTGTTCTTTACCATAAGTCTGCTGACCCATGACCTCAGGGGTTTGTAAAACACAGATCATTAAGGTTCAATCTGAGAGTGTTTGATTCAGTAAGTATGGATGGGGACCAAAATTTATATTTCTCATCATTTCTTAGATGGTGCTGGTGTTAATTGTCTGAGGACCACGCTTGGAGAACAACTACTTAATAATGGCAGGTTATCTCCAAAGCAAGCATTTGATCCTTATAATTTGATTATGGTCTTGCCGGGGATTTAGCTCAGTGGTTCTGCAGCCTGCCTCAAAAGTGCAAGGATCCGAGTTTGATCCCCAGCACCAAAAAAAAAAAAAAAAAAAAAAAAACACAAAAAAAAAAGAAAAAAAAATAGAAACAAAAAGAAAAAAATAGGGAAAAGGGAAAATGAAAATAGGAAAAGAAAATGAAAATTGGATTATGATCTTTAAATCCCTTTTCCAGTCTTAGTAAAGGGATGAAATGAGTTTCCCTCTTCTCCAACAGAATTTTATTTATTTTTACAGAGGATACCTGGGCTGAAAAGGTGTAGAACTGGATAGAAAATCTGCCCCATAGCCTGCTGGCTTTGCAACTTTGGGTAATCTACTCAATTTCCTCTGTGTATGGGGAAAACCAAACAATTTTCTCCCATATATTCTCAGGAAAGAATACTTCTGATCACCAAAATAGTGAGATTTTTTCCCCCCTCACATCAACCAATTGTTCAACATCAGCTGGATACCTTACAATTTAGTTCAATTCAGAGACTAACTGGAGTTAACATGGACCCCACAGGTTAAAGGCTCAGTCCCGCAGCATTGTCCTTCCCTTTCATGTCCACACCACAAGTATTAGGTTCCTAGGTTCCCAGGTTCCCCATTTCTGTCTGACTTGGCTACAACTCAGAGGATCCCACTATCCCCTTCTTGGGCTGGAGAATTTGCTTCAAGCATTCATAGAGCTCAGGCATCACTAACATTTATCAGTTGTTATACGAGATATTACAAAGAATATAGATGAACAGCCTTACAAGTGGCACATAGGGCCAGGTGTGTGGGAAGGGGTGCAGAGTTTCTGGTTGCACTACCATCCAGGCATTTCCAACTGTGCAACAACCTGGATGCACACTTTAGAGCTGATTACGGAGATGTTGTCACAAAGCCAGGACTGACCATTATCTCAGCCTCTAGGCCCTCTTCCCTTCCTGGAGGATGAGGGCGGGTGAGGCTGAGAGTTCCAAGCTTCTCATCATGGCTTTGTATTTCTGGTGAGCATTCCCCATCTAAGAGCCCACCAGAGTGACCTGATTAGAATGAGAAATGCGCCTATCCCCAAGGATTTCAAGGAATTTAGTAGCTCAGAGCCAGGAACCTGGTCAATGATGCAGTAATAGAACACAAGATTCTTCCAGCCCTCCTCCCATTGCTCAGGAAATCAATCACAAAGATTTGAGGAGCTGCCAGGAACCAGAGGTAGACATAAAATATATATTTCCTGTTATAAATCACAACATCACAGAAGCTAATAACGAGAGTTTTTATACCTCACAAGATTGAAGCAAACAGGAAATTAGTTAACACAGTGGTACCTTGGAAATATGCCTGACATACATCAAGTATTGTGATAATGACAGCTGTTATTATGAAATGTCTACCAGGGTAAGGTAGTATTTTTCAAACTTGGCTAAACATTGGACTTACCCTACTTAGTTTTGACTCAGATTGATTATCATTCAATTGGTTTGAGGTGTGGACTGTGTGTTGTGGGGTCTTCAAAAATTTTAAGGGAAATTAAAATGCAGCACTGTCACTAGAAATAGAATGAATAGAACATTGTATATATCATATTTTGTTTCTAATGGTCACATTTAAAGGGTACAAGTAATTTTACTAATAGGGCCATCATGTGTGTTGTTGTTGATAAGTAATACATTGATATCTGTTATTTGACTCAGTGTCATGGTTTGAATCTTCTGTTTCCCCAAAGATCTGTGTCAGCTGATGGTGCTGTGGGGAAGAGGTGGAACCTGTAAGACGTGGGGCCTCATGGGAATAAATCAGGTCACGGGGAGGTGTGTCCTTGAAGGGGTGTCGGGATCCCAGCCTCTTCCTGTCTCTTTTTGTCCCCTGGCTGCCACGAGGCAAACAGCATTGCTCTGCCATGTACCATGCACTTGCCAAGATGTTCTGCCTTGCCACAGCACCTAAACCACCAGAGCCAAGCCAGCGTGGACCTCTGAAACTGAGCCCAAAGAAGCCTTTCCTCCATTTTAAAAATTTCATGTACTTTTTTATTAGAACAATTTTGCAGTGTATAACGTTTGCCTCCTTGTGTGGAGTCGGTGCGCGGACAGAACACATCTTCATTCCTGTTTTCATCCTCTTCCTCTCGCCTCCCCCATCTCTTGACCCCGTGCCCTCTGAGAAAGCTCTATCTCCTTGTAATAGGGAGCTGTCTTAACTCTTTCAGGAAGATGTTTGGAAGGGGAATAGCTAAGTTCACTATCTCAGGTATTTTGTCACAGGGACAGCCAGCTAACTAACACACTCAATGTATTTCCTTCAAATATTATTTCGCATTCGTGTGGATCCTGTTTTTACTCAAAAATGTATAAGTGGAAAAGGAGACAATATTTTAAGCTGATAGTCTCAGTAAGGCTGACCCCTTGTAGTCTTGTCTGGCTTGGAGAATAACTAGTTGGGTGCGGTTTTCAGAGGAATGTGCTGTAAGGGGACGAATGTGACACCACACAACTCAGTGACAGCTGACACCAGAATGTGCTGCCCACCGTGAACACCAAGTCTGCTCACCACCTGCAGACCACTGTGGGGCTCTGTTTCATGCTTGATATGTCAACAGCAGCTTGGGCTTGGGTTTTATTGACTTCAATTCTCCATGGTGTCATTCCCCCCACCCTTCTGGACTCAGTATTAATCACTTCTTTGGATTACAATCAATTCCTGTAGTAGGTTTGAGGGTGGGTTAAAAAATTTAATAACTCAAGAAGCCTCTGAATTTAAGATGTTAGTGCCTCTGGCTTATATGATTTACATAATTATTTGTTCATGCAGAATTTGTATATCATTTCTCTGATTGTTTTATACTACATGAAACTTCCTGGCAGTTCCCCAAATGCTGGTGTCTCAGCCTGCCTATGCAGTCCCATCTCAGTAGCAATAAAGCAAATAAATGGCTGAAGGGCTGCCCAGCACTCAAATAAGGTAAACCCCAGCCTTCCGAGCTGTTCACCGAATTGGACACCCCAAGCTGTTTGAGGAAAAAGATCGCTCTTGTTTTATTAATCCTATTAAAACTACGCACAGAACAACACATCGTGAGGTTTTCGTCAGCTTGGAGGATCAAGATAATTTATTCTTTGCTGAGCTTTTTGTGTTTGCTGTGCATAAGAGTCATTTGATAATCACTTTTAAAGTGGACTTGTGTACTTTTATCCAGTCCACATGCAAATTCAATAAAACGTATTTACTTTGTCTTCACTCTGTGCCAGTTCTTTTTGCTATGCATACAGAAACAGAGATGAGAAAGAATTACTGCCTTCAAATAGTTCAAAGTTTAATGGGACACACACACACAGTAGAAATGTGAAGAGGGTTAGAGCAGAAGTAGAATTTGATGCTTCTGGACCACTCAGAGGGAGCAATTCATTTGGCTGAGGTTGGAAGAACACTTTTTAAATTAGGTCTCGATGGAAGACAAATGGGAGCAGGCACTGCAGGCTAAGGGGACCAAGTGAACCATGGTATGTGTGTGAACACGGGCTGTGGTCAGAAAGTGGCAGTGTTTTGTTGAAAGTGTTGCTAAAGGTGCAGGTGGGAAGGAAGGGGGGCAAGATGTGGCTGAAGAAAGAACAGTCAAATTTATGATGCCCGTTGGTTGTTGACGGAACTTAGATGCTGGGATTATCCCAGGCATCTAGGTATAAAGACATGAATGAATAAAGAAAATGTGGTCTATGTGCACAACGGAATATTATTCAGTCATGGAAAAGAAGGAAATTCTGTCATTTTCAGGAACGTGGGTAGGACTGGAGGGTGTGTTAAGAGAAGCAGCACACAGAAACACAAAAGCCACATGTTCTCACCTGTACATGGAAGCTAAAAAGTCGATCTCAAAGACACAGGGAGTAGAATAATGGTTTCCAGAACAGGGAGGAGAGTGGTGGAGGGGAAATGGGGAGAGGCTGGTTAATGAGTACAAGATTGCCGTAGGAGGGGAGAGATAACTTTTAATGTTCTGCAGCACAGTAGGGTACCTATGGGTGGCAACATTAACTGAATATTTCAATTGGGAAGATCAGCGCAAAGCTTGGGGTAGGCCTGGGGATGCTGGCTGTAGGTGACAGGCCGTGAAACAGCCTTTCCTGGGTGTTTAGTAGTTTATTATCAGCTCCAGGTGCTGCTAATGGGTTTTTATAAAACATCATATAAAACCAGGGAGGCTTGCAGACCAACCGGAGGTATTATACATGCAGGTAAACACACACATACACACATACACACACACACACGCACACGCGTGCGCATGCATGCACGGCTGAAAAACATGTAAAAGGCTTCAAATAACCTAAAAGTAAGCAGGAAAGTAATTCCTTTTTCAATTTCTTGCATTGGTCACATTGCAACAGGTGGAACCCACCTCTCAGGCTGACGTGGAATTGTGCTTGTTTTCCTTTCAAGCACACACCATGCACAACAACTTGGAACATCTGTTTTGTGAATCTCTCATCATTCTGCTGATAAGTGAGGTTAAGCTTGTCCATCCAAAGGTAAAGGATAGAGCCCGGACTCCTGGCCTTGGACACAAGCCCTCCGAAAGGCAGGTGGCTTACCTCCTTTCTTCTTTCCACAGAAAGAAAACTTGGGTAGGTCTGCCTCACAGATGGGGTAGGAGTAATGCAGTACAGAAGTGCCTTTACTGATGAGAGATATGTCAAGATACAGTTCTCTGATGTCCTCCCCTAAGAGGATAAAGAAGCACAACGTTATTATTGTGTCTCACCATGTAGCAAAGGCTTTTGGGTCTCCTAGCGGCCTGAGGAAAAGGGCCTTTTCTTTTTCTCTCTACTCTGGGCAGGGAAGTGTTCTTTTCTTGGTGAAACAGCCTTTAGCCCATGCTACAGGGCATTAGGATAACAGCTGCTAGGCCAAGTTTTAAGAACTTACATTAGCGATTTAGGAACAAAAGAATTCAAATGCCAAATCATGCTGCTAGTGGTTGGTAGTAAATTTGATTGTGGTCGAGACAACTAAACAAAGGTTCTCTCCTATGTAGATATTAATACTTAGTCTCAAAATACTTTCATTGCTTTTTGCTGAATGTACTTGTTTCAGGTGCTTTTATCATCCGGGGTCTAGGGTCCTTTCACTACAAAACCATTGCACCAAGTGTGAGTTCTACTCTACTAGGTATTACTCAGAGAGAGAATGGAAAATGAAGACGGGAGTAGAATTAATTCCAGAGGGTGGAGGTGCGGTCATAGTAGTTTAGCCGCCCAGCTGATTTACGTTAACATGTGTCAACTGAATGTGTGGTGTAGGAAGAGCTTGTGCCATGTTTTATTTCATGGTAATGATTTCTACTTACTCAGAATGATGCCCAATCTAATCCTGAGATTTGGTTTCAATTGTTTGGAACACTGGTCAACAGAAAAGCCAAAATCCTGTAATGGATCTGCCAAGAGGAAAACATCAGATTAGCTGTGAGTGCCCTACATACTCTGAAAATTCATATTTGAAATTTGTAATTATATAAATTGATTTTATACTAGTCATTAAAATTTAATAAAAAACATATCCCACAATACTTTTTCCTTTTTCCTTGGGGGTACTGGGGATTGAGCCCAAGGCTTTCACACTGAGCTACATCTCCAGCCCTTTTTTTAACCTTTTACTTTTGAGACAAGGTCTCACTAGGTCTCTAAGTCCTAACCCCTTAGGAGGCTTGAATTTGTGATCTTTCTGCCTCAGCCTTACAGAGTGCTGGAATTACAGGTGTCCACAAGCAGGTTCTGCTTTTAAAAAATTTTTAAGTCAGTGATGTTTTTACCAGTTCCTCCCAGTCTCTCCAAAATCAATGTTATGTTCATTTTTACAGCTTGTCACTGTCAGTTGGTCAACATCATGTTCATTTTGACAACAGTGTCTCAATCCATACAATGAGCACCATGTCTTGATTGTTGTAATACTTTTGTCATTCGATTGAATTCTTTCAACTCTTGAACTTTTGGCTTTAAAATTGCTCATTAATTGCATAGACGTTTCATAAAGTATTTATTATTATAATTTAAGCAGAGGGAGATATATGAAGATTTTCAAGGTTGGGACCTGCTAGTGTAATTTTGTTTCATCCTGTCCCACCCCATCCCATTCAGTATAATAAATTCTTTCAAATATTCCACTATTTGCAGGGTATCGTGTTAGCTCTGCTAGGGACTATAAAGATAACACACCTTACATATAATTTCCACTCGTTCAAATGCTCCTGTGGCTCATCTGTGCCTCCTAGGAAAGTTTAGAAATGTTCTCCTGTCTCCCTTCCACACCCCACATCACAAATCCACCCTCCACTCCACCAGATCCCAGAAAATTCCCACCATGCTTGATTTGCCTGTGTTCTTTCTCCCATTTCAAGTAGTCTGAGTCCTTGTGGCTGTCATTAAATGCTCAGGTCTTGCTCATTTCCATCTTTTGTGAAGGTCTCTCTGATAGTCTTGGAAGTACTCTTTTGCTTCTCTGAATTCTTAAAAGTTATGTCTGAAATACTTTTTTAAGTGCACAAATATATATTGCTTTGTACTTTGCTGCATGACTTATCCCACAGCATTTAGGCTAAACATGCAACTCCTTAAAGGCAGTAGCCAATTTTCTGCTTTTTCTTTTGGTTTATTTTGCTTTCCATTTCCATTTTCTTTATGTTTGCTACTGGGCCTAAAAGAAAAGAGTTCATGTTTTTTCCACTCTGTTTTTTTTTTCAGTTGATGCATAGTTGTACATATTCATGGGATATAGTATGATATTTCAACACACATGTGTCCAATGTGCCATGATCAACTTAGGGTAATTGGCATATCTATCACCTCAAACATTTATCACTTTTAAAAAACTGAACATATTCAAAAATCCTCTCTTCTAGCTACTTTGAAATTTGCCGTCATTATTGTTAACTATAATCACCCTACTGTGGTACTGAGCACTAGAACTTAATCTTTTTCACTGTAGTTTTCTGTTAATGGACACTTTTCTTTCCTAATCCCTTCTCCTTTCCAGCCTCTGGCAACCACTGTTACACTCTCTACTTTTATGAGGTCAGCTTTCTTAATGTTTGTGTACGAGTGAGAACACGCAGTATTTGTCTTTCTGTGCTTGGTTTATTTCACTCACATAATGTCCTCCCGGTATATTCATGTTGCCGAAAATAACAAAATTTCACTATTGTTTTGGTAACAACCAGAGCACAAGTTGCCCATAGTGATTTCGTTTGTTTTGGATATATATACCCAATAGGAGATGCCTGATTACGTCGTGAGCCTCCTTTTAGTTTTTCCAGGAAGCTCCATACTGTTATCCATAATGCTGATACTAATTTTCATTCCCAGCAACAGTCTGTAAGAGTTCTCCTTTGAAGAGAGTTGAGTGAAGGTCTTTCTTGTACTGGTACTGACATGCACTTTATAAGATTATTTTTTTAGTCCTCCAGACTCCTCAACACCCAGCACAGTTGGACACGCAGTAAGCACTCCATAAGTGTACATAATGAATGAACGCATGAACCATCTATTGAATTGTCAATTTCCAAGCTCCAAATCCAGCCATCTGTACTCTGCTTTGTGTACCTGGGCTCTTTGCAATCATGCTTCTTCTTTGCCATCTGCTAGACAGGGTGCCAGAGAGAGATGGAGGCTGCAGGCAGAGCAGACTTGCTTTTTGTGTACTTGGTGAGAATGTTGTGGATGATGGCCATCACTCTGGTGATGGCAATTGCTCCCAATGTCTAGATCTTTTTTGGTACTTTCCCAGAATCAGTTGGGCTCAGCTTTGTGGATCACTGAAGTGTTACCCCTTCCTCTGCAGTCTGTCTCAGCTCCACAAGGTACTTTTTTTCAAAGATTCAGCTGCTATATCCAGTCTCCAGTTGATGGGCATTTGGGCTGTTTCCAAGTTTTAGCTATTACAAACTGTGCTGCTATAAACATGGGTGAGCATATATCACTGTGGTATGATTCTTTTAATTCTTTTGGGAAGATACCCAGCAGAGGGATAGCTGGGTCAAATGGGACCTCTAATCCTAGTTCTTTAAGGTATCTCCATACTGATTTCCACAGTGGTTGCACCAGTCTGCACTCCCACCAACAATGGAGAAGGGTTCCTTTCTCTCCACACCCCTGCCAGCATTTGTTATTCGTTGATTTCTTGATAGCAGCCATTCTTTCTGGAGTGAGGTGGAATCTCAGTGTTGTTTTCATCTGGATCTTTCGAATGACCAGAGATATTGAACATTTTTTTCATATATTTATTATACTCTTTAGTGAAATAAATAGGACACACGTGTAAATACCGAATAGTTTCCCTAGTGTGAAATAGTAAAAGTGTAAATAAGGGTCACATGATATAATTGATAATGTGAAATAGGAAGAAAAGGTCTAAAGGAGTTGGGGAAGTGGGACGGGTAGGGGAAAGGAAAGAAGGGAAAAGAAAAAATATGAGAAAAGGAAAAAATGGAAACAAAGTCCTTTGCAAATAGGAGAGGGTGGAGGGGGTGAAGGGAGGGCAGGGGAATGGGGAAAAAATAAGAACCAAGAGAGATTATGTAAAGGTACAAGATCCCAATGATGAATGTAACTGTATTTTATACCCAAAATGTACCAATGAACTTAATGAAAAAAAAAGATTCAGCTTCTAATAATCCAATCTCTGCTCTCTTTGCTTTCCAAGTCCTTGGGGTGGGAGCTGCTTCCTTGGTTTCTTTTTCTCCCTTCTATTTTGATTATCCAACAACTGTTTAATGAATTTCCTATATTAAATTCTTTCTGTTAAAATAACTGAGATGATCTTTGTTTTCTAGGCAGGATCCAGACTGGTAGAATAAAGAACACTCTTCAAAGATAGGCCTGATTTTTCTTATTTTACTGATGGGAAAAAGTAGACCTAGAAAGGTTGTGTTAACTTCTCCAGATCCCAGTTTTATAAAGTGTGGGAGTCAATATCCAAATCCAGAGTTAAAAGCAAGCAAGCAAACAGTTACATTGCTGCTTAGTATTGTACAGGGATACTCAAAAGGTAGAGTCTCAAGTACGCATGTTAAGTACTGGATTTGTAAGATTTCTCAGAATAATCTCTGTGCAGGATTATGGCATCAGGTAGCTCCATTTCACAACTGATTTCAGTTTCAGCTTGGTCATGAGGTCTCCTTTGCCAACAGTAGTTTTGCAGACAGTTTTATCAATTTTATCCAATATTAACCACAAGACACACCATCGTCTGTGATATTTGCCATGGAAATGACCACTGGGTAATTCCAGCCTTGCAAATATAACAAGGCGTGCACCTTTGTTTGATAAAAACCCTTTTGGTTGGGTCATTAATTTTTCTGGGGGAAAATTTCTCTTTTCGTGTGTTCATTTGACTCTTTCCAAAGCATCTTTTTGCAGTCCCAGAGCTTCTTCCAGCCTGGAAAACAGGAGCTAGGAGACAAGTGCTCCTAGTGCATAATTGGCCCTCAGATTGGAAAAAAGTCCGTAAACCTACAGACTTCTTGGAAAGAATGGCATCCGTTCCTCCCAGCCCCGAATCTCAGCCTCACCAACACATACCCTTCCGTGTATCTATTTATGTCTCCTCTCAGCTACTTCCTGTGCTCTGTATTACATCATATTTGTTTGCATACCCTTGTCATTCATCTTCTAAAGGCTGCAAAGCAAGCTTCCCAGCCACAGAGACACCACATTTTAAGATTGTATCGAGTTCCAAAGCATTACAGTATTTGCCCAATGAATAACAAGTTATTTAAAGTAAATTTATTGAGATCCTTAAAACAAGGTTTCTCAGTCTTGCCATTGTTGACATTTAGTTTCAGATAGTCTTTTGCTCTGGGGCTGAGCTGTGAACCCCATACAACAATTGACCAGCACCCTTGGTCTCCACTCTCTAGATACCGGTTGCACCCTCCTTCCCCTCCAATTGTGACAACCCAAAGTATTTCCTCACATTGCCAAAGTTCCTGAGGGGGACGAAATCACCCCTGGTGAGGAACCATAGCTAAAAAGAATTATTTTCTCAGTTACCAGGCTTTACCTCTGCTGCAGATTCTCCAGGACCACATACCAAAATAAGAGATAAGGGTTACATTGTTTAAATGATTCTCCTTGCACAATATAAGAACCAGTCGGAGTGGGAGAGTTTCCCCTGGACCCCTGCCCCAAGCACCTCTAATACACATACATCAGATCATTTGACTTTGGAGCTTCTAAAACAATAATATTGAAAGCTAAAGGAAAGTTGGCACTCCCAGGCAATGAAGGCAGAGATACTATCTTCTTTAAATAAATGAACTGTAGTTCATTGTTGAGCAGCACACGGGCTGAGGGAGGAAGTAAAAGTTTCACTGTGAAATAGAAGATCTGTTCATTTTGCACAGTTCTTCCTTGGCCTCTGGATCACACCCCCTTTCTGCCT